GCTACTAATGAAGCTCTTTGTCAAGAATTTACTAAGACTATGTAAGATGAATTTGAAATGAGCATGATGGGAGAGCTTGCATTTTTATTGGGATTAAAAGTAAAGCAAACAAAAGATTGTACTTTCATCAATCAAGCAAAATACATAAAGGACATGCTCATAAGGTTTGGCTTGAAAGAATCAAAGCCTTACTCAAAACCTATGAGCACTTCAACAAAAGTTGACAATGATGGAGGGAAATGTATTGATTCTAAATTATATAGGTCTATGATTGGTTAATTGATATATCTCACTGCAAGTAGACCTGATATAATGTTTAGTGTGTGCTTATGTGCTAGATTTCAATCATCACCTAAAGAATCACATTTACTTGCTGTTAAAAGAATTTTTAGATACCTTAAGGACACTCCTAACTTAGAATTATTGTATCCAAAAGGTTCATCTTTTGCTTTGCATGCTTATTCCGATGCGGATTTTGGTGGTTGTAAAATTGATAAAAAAAACACTTTCGGTACTTGTCAGTTATTTGGGAATATACTTATATTATGGTTTTCCAAGAAGCAAAATAGCGTTGCTTAATCCACAATCGAAGCGGAATATGTAGCGGCCAACAATTGTTATGCTCAAGTTTTGTTGATTAAACAACAATTGGAGGATTCTAGAATTACCATGAACCACATTCCCATTAAATGTGATAATACTAGTGCCATTAATCTTACCAAAAATCCAATTCAACACTCAAGAACTAAGCATATTGAAATTAGGCATCATTTCATTAGAGATCATGTTCAAAAGGATGATATTGTGCTTGAATATGTTGATATCTTGCATCAATTAGCTGATTTTTTACAAAACCTCTTGATAGAGATAGATTTTATACAATTAGAGGTGAACTTGACATGGTGAATGCTCCTTGAAATGCAACTCTTGATAAATTGATGGTTTACTTGAACAAATATGTGTTCACTTTTGATAATGTGTATGATTACACTTGAAATGTTATGATGCATGTTTAAATAGTTATATTGTATTTTTTTAATTAAAAAAATAAAAAAAAGGCTACATGTGAATTGATTAATCCTATAGAGGACCAGATCAATTGGTTTTGCACCTAGTAGCAAAATTGAGTTGGGATGTGCATGAACCGATCGATCCCTTAGGGGACCCGAGCGATCAGGTACGCTAGCAGACTTAAAACTCATCATCTTTGGCTTCTCAAATTCTGACTCTTCTTCTTAAAAAACCCCACACGAGCTCCGTCTTCATCTTACTATTTCATTGTTCCTCTATACCATAACCCTCTCTCTCACAAATTCTCTCAAAACTCATCCTTTACAATCAAAATTTCTTACAAATATCTTCAAGTTTTCTTGTTTTCTTGCAAAATCTTCATCTAGTCTCTTAGAAATCATACTAAAATCATCACAAATCACTCCTACTGATTTCTCTCTCTAAAATTTTAATCCCTTTTTGAACCTTCATCATTCCCTCAATATTCCTACATCTTACAAATTTATATCACTTCCTATCACTTACATTGTTAGTTTCCTTCATCAATTTCATAAAAGATTACCTATTTTCTCATATCCAATTTGCCCATAGCACCTAAAACCAAAGCAAGTGTTGGAACAAGAAGGACTCCTCCAAAGGAGGCTTCTATTTCATCAATTAAGCCTTCATTCAATCAGAATTTTGCAAATCCTAATGCTAAGGAGAGGTATGAAATGCATTTTGCTCATAGGGAGGTTAAGCATAAAAGGCTAATATCTCTTGAATTTCTCTAATTTATTGGGTTTCCTTATCTGCATGTATTTAAGGATTTTGACTGGATGAGTTATCTGTGCATGGATGGAATAATTTATGAGAATCTAGTTAAGGTGTTCTATAGTAATGCTACACATATTGAGATTGAAGAGACTGGAAATAGATATTATCTTAATAGGTTCAAAACTTATGTGATGGGTAGAGAGATTGTGTTTAATAAGCAATGAAACATTTATGTTGGATGATGATGGGGACACAAACACCAGGTGTGAAATGTTGGATTTAGCTCAAGATATCTTTGGAAATGAAAACTTGAGAATTACTCCTACACAGGCCACTAAACTCTCTATGCATGATAGATTGTTGCACCTTATAGTTACTCATGTTTTGGCACCTTTTGGCACCCAATATTCAACTATTAGGAAACAAGATTACTGGTGAATGTACAAGATCAAACATGAGGAGAAACTCAATCTTGTGCACTTTATCTTTAGTGACATGATGAAAGTAGTACAAAATCAGAAATTACACCTTCATCTATGGGTTTGCTATATTTACTGAAGAAATTGAATATCAACACTAGGAGCAATAGAGAAATTGTATTTAATGACCAAGTTAGCATTCTTGGAGTTCATACTTTGCACAGTACGAGTTATATACAAAATGCATTTGGTTTATGGATTAGAAAGACAAATGTTAGGGCTGTGCAAGAAGAAGAAAAGCATGATATTCCAGATGTTCCTTATATACCTCAAGAAGAACCCTGTAGTCCACCATTTGATACTCAAGGTGCACTATAAATTATGATGGTTCAAACGAATAGCTTGCACTCCCTGGTTGGAGACATGAACTCAAAGCTTGAAATTTTGAAGTTATATCAAAATGCCATGACTGAAGAAATTCGCCAAATAAAGACTAAGATGAACCAACACTATCACCATTTCCCACCTTATCCTCCTCCTCGATGATCCACCCGGATGCCATGCCTTAGATGTTTTCCCTACATATCTATCTTTTTAAATTTTAATTTTTCTTAAAGACAGTTTGCATTATTATTATTTTTTTAAACCTTGGTATTTGATGTTTATATTAATAATATATGCATTTTATTTTCATAATGGCATTTGGTATGTTGCATTGGAGTTGGTTTAAAATTGATGTTATGTGAAAATTGGTATATTGATCGAGTTGCTATGACATTGCGTTGTGGAATTAAGTTGATCTAATTTGGACATATATTAAGCTTATTGTAGCCTTGAATTAATTGTCATATTACTTTGATTGTCTTGATCTTTTTGCTATGACAAAAAGGAGGAGAAATAATGACATGAAAAGTTCTTATTGATAAGGTTTGCAACAAAAGGTCATTTGATCTTGATATTGATGGTTATATTCTAGCTCTTAGCTTGTTTAAATTTCTTTATGCTTAAATTAGGGGGAGTCTACTTTTCAAATGGAAAAATGTATTTAAAGCAAAATTTTCACTTAGTTTTGTTATATCAAAAAGGAAGAGTTTGTTAGCCTTGAATTGATAAAAGTTTTTGAATTAACAAAACAAAAATTTGCCTAACTTGAATCAAATTTATTTTATCTCAAATTGAACATTTTTCCAGCTTTCTATCTTGCCAAAAATTATTTTTGAACTGAAGCAAAACATGTTCTGGAAACAAAATTGGACTTTTGGACAATTTGGGATAGAAGGGATCGATCCCCTCATGTGACCCGAGCCAAGGATCGATCCATTTTTTTTCCAGTAGCTTATCTCGTGCAAGTTTTTCAAAATCAATCGATCCCTCTCTTTAAGGATCGATTGGCTAGGTTTTCTAATTGAACCGATTGATCCCACTTTCAAAGCGATCGGTCCATTTTTTATCCAGAAACAAAATAGGTTTCAAAGTTTGCAGATGGGATCGATCCCCCTACACAGAGGATCGATCACCTGGGATAGAGAGTCGATCAGGTCCCTTACCTAATCAATCAGGTGCGCAAAATTGATCTAATTTTCAACTGACCGAATCGATCCCCTATATTAAGGATCAATCCCCCGGTGCCTAAAAAGCCTCAACGGCTAGTGTTTTGTTTGAAATTTTGCAAGTTTCCAAGCATTAAATGCAAGCAATGGCTATCTTCCTTTTTTCAACATATAAATGAAGATTTCCCACTACATTTGAAGGGTATGAAAAGCCAAGAAAACTTATTGCTTCCATTTACCATCTTCTCCAAGCATTAAAAAGCATTTTAGAGAGAGAAAAGTGCAGAAAATTTATATTGTATCTATTTTTCTCTTAACATTCTTCCTAATCTTGATTTGTGCTTCAAATTAGTAAACACCCAACCTTAGAGAGGTTCTTTGAGTTTGCAAAACAGTCAAAAGCTTGTATTGTGAGGTTGTGAGCTTAAGAGGGAGGATAACCCTTAAAAGATTATGGTGTTGATTGTATAGAGCTTTGAAAAGCTAGGTTGTAACAATCAACACATAATGGATTGAACTCCTTGGCAAGTGAGGCTAATGGAGAGGACATAGGTCCCTAAAGGAGGGCCAAACCCCTATAAATTTCGGTGTTTGATTTTCTATCTCTATATTTTGCTTTCAAGATTATTAGTATACTCATATTTGTTGTGTTTATTTGCTTAGAAAAATTTATATGTAAAATTTGTGCTTATTGGATATTGAATTTTGAAAATTTTATTATCAACCAATTCACCCCCTCTCTTGGTTTATTTCAAGTCTTTGAGCTAACACACCCTCATCTAGTTGAAAATAATTTTTTTTCACATAATAATGACATATAACTTGGTTAAAACAAGGGTAGAGTCCAAAAATTTTCAGCAGGTTTTCAATCATAGCAACCATTCACTTTATGTCTAAAGACTTCAGAACCTTGCCCATAATATCTATGATCTCTAGAGGCAGCATTCTCATTTTAGATAGATCCCACTTGGTACTTATTTTTAACCCATAAGAAATGCCAAATAGCAATTAAGTTGGCACCAATATTGCAGACCAGCATGCTGTTTACAAAAGTCCATGTAATGATTAGCAACATAGACCACAAAGCACATGTTTTTAGTCCTAATAACACAAGGGATCTTCCATGTGCTTGGATTCATAGAATTTCGAAATTATGGCTTCAAAGACAAGCCATATAAGTCATATATGCAAACAAAGGATAACTTTATAGGCACTATAAAAACTCAATAAAAGAACAAATGGAGATGTCAAGTAGATTTCTTACAGAGGGGTGATACTCTCATGCTTAACAAACAATAGCACTTTTCCCACTACAGCAACTCCCTTGTTCAGGCCTTCTGACAGCACATCGAGAGTGGCCCTTTTGTATGAGGAATTCACTAACACAAGAAGATGCAAATAAAAGGTACTCAATATATTCCAAAAACATTGAATAGAATAAGCAAATTAGAAGCTCACTTGAACTTAATGTGAACTGATGACTAAACACAGTAGAAGAGTCAGGTTGCTTACAATTAACAGCACCAATTGTTGATGCTAAAGAAGCAAGTATTTTTTCCCTAGAATGTCCCTGTATAACCTATCTATCAGATCAACTCCATTTCAGAGGAAAATGATATCACACAACTAATGAGATTCACCACCAAACAATCTTAATCACACCAGTAACGAAAAGCATGTATTCTCTCATCATGTTATAGCCAACTCATAGAAACTATAATTTACAACAATGATTTCACAAAATAAGTGTTTCTTAACCACTTTTCTATCAAAAGCAATCCATGAATGCATGTAGCATTATCACTGTGAAAGTGAAATGAAATAGTCAACAAAATTAAAGCAGTTCACAAGATCATTATGAAAAAATATATCAAAAGAGCCATAGACGAATGGGTCAAAATCTTAGAATAAACTCTCCCCCTTTTCCTTCCCTCTCTTCCAAGAACCAGATGAATAGATAAATTTTGAGAGAAAATTATGTTTTTATTTGAATTAACAATCTTTGATAGGCTTTTCTTATGAGATTTGACATGGAAAAGCCACAAACATGTTTACACACTAATTAGAAAAGCTAAGGGAAGCATCATTGATATAATTTATAGCAGGTAGTATATCTAATGTGGGGACAAAAAGATGATTAAAGGACTAAAGTATTTACAATTATATCTGATAACTTTGCTATATTTTGAGGTTCACTTCTAACCTTTTATTATTTACTGAATTATTAGGATACTTGGGTTTAGGTTCTGAGTTTAGGATTATATTTGGCATTTTGTATTACCTTTTAAATTTAGGATGGAAGTGCAAGCTACAAGTGCTTATTTTATTTTCAATTTCTAGAAGCTCTTGAGATTTGAACTATTGACCGGGTGGTTCTTGCTATTTTTTTCTAAGGGCAGGTGCATGTGCACCATTACCATAAGGTAACTAATTCAGCATTTATCCCATAACCATTCTATTGCCTTCTCAGAGAAAAAAATACATTACCTTCAGCAAATTCTCTAGTTTCTTAAGAAGATTGACCATCTTTTCAACCTCCTCAAAAGCATTGAGACTTGGATCCTTTAAGGCAGCAGCTTCAAAGCCACTAAGAGCCCTATCGTAATTCTCTAGATATTTGTTTACCTGAAAACAGAAACTCCATCAGAAAATCCATATCAGCAATGGCATGCAGCACACTTATTGCAGTTAAGTGGACATGAAGATCCTTATTAAAGATAGTGAACATATTAAGGTGAGGCAAGCATTTCATCAGACGAGAGTATTTGTTTTCAGCCTATCAGTCTTTGAAACTGAAAAGGACATATCTACCAATATAATAGTACACTTGTAATAAGAAGAGACCAAGCACTCAAAGAGCTGAGGCACCCATCATCTAAAAGCTATTTCTCAGCAAGTTTGTCATCCAAAATACTCTCAAAGAAAAAGGTATGAAGGAGTAAACTCACTGTTGCACCATTAAAATATAGGTCTGGATTTAACTTCATTCTTTCATCTTTCTCCTGGCATATGTCATCAATAATTAACCACATCCCTCAAAATAACATGACTACATCGAAATTAAATGTTAAAAGTAGTGCAGCATACAAACCAATACAATAAGAAAAGAAAAAACATTGTCGTTGCTACACCCACAATCATATGATAACCCTATATAATTGAACAATCAACTCATCTACATTTAATGATTAGAATAAATCATCATTAAATGTATCATGCAGTGAAGCTCTCATTCCACCAGCTTACAGCATTTTGGTATGCCTTTAAGGACTGCAGAAGTTTGCTATGATCCCATGCCCCAGTTACAAAAAAACTTGTCAGGCAAGCATTTCCCAGATTATCTGTCAAAAGGAAAATGATGCATATTAAGGGAAGAGTTCACAGTTTACATAGGTTAGAATTGAAAGGCTTCTCAAATAATTAAAGGGTCAAGACAAGAATGGCATTCTTTAGCAACATGCACATACAAGGAAAAATGAAAACCATTTACGCATGTAAATACACCATACATATAGAGAGAGAAAACAAAATACACCATACATATGGAGAAAGCAAACATTCTTTCTTCAGATTGAAGAAACTTATAAGAATATTATTTACCTATAGAACTATTGTTATTAATTTCATTTCACTGCCGGCTGTACGGGCCAGTATACTCCAGTTATGCCAAAATACAGTAGTACACTGAAGGGTGATTTTTCGTAAAGAACTTGATACCAGACACTACTAGTTGTTTTCATTAGTTTCAGCTGGTTTCGATGAATTTCGATGGAATAGCTTTGTTTCAGCCAGTAAATGAATGTGGAACATGTTTTGTAATTTTTAACTTGTCTTTTATTGTTTAACTACTTTTAACCTAATAAAAATAAAGCTAATGAACAAAGCAATCCTTGAAAGTTGGGTTTCTCTATTTTTTTCTGCAAATTGTTTTGTTTTACACTTTATTTTTTCAAACCAAAATTCATAAGTATTTCAATCTCTTTAAAAAAAAAAAGCAATTGTGTTCCCTCTCTAAAGTTTAAGAATCCTAAAGCTAAAATTAATTTTTTTCATCTATTTGTTTTTATCTTAATATATTTTTACATTAAAAAAGAAAATTATTTATTTAAATATCATATGATTTGATTAAGTATTTAAAAATATAATGACAAATTGATGATATTATTTGTTATACTTTTAAACTTATTGTTTTGGTTTTTCAAGATATTATATATTTATTTTGCATATTATTAGTATTATTATTATGTACAAATCCATGTACATTTATAAATATATTTGTATTAAAGCAAAAATTCCGAAATAATATGCCAAAACAACTGATTACCAACATATACATTTTTTTAAAGAAAACTGAAATGTTATACAATACGATATTAACAACTTGGCGTAGAACTCAAAACGTAAGTCCTGGGTTGGCTAGCATCACAAAAGGAGATTTATAAGACCAAAAACTCTTTTCGTTAATGAAATTGATATAGTAAATTTTTAAAAAGAATTTTAGGATAAAAGTATAAATTTCAAATGGACAAGAAAAAAGAGAGTGAGGAAAAGATATAAGATTTCAGAGTCTACTATTTTGTAATTAGTTTCCATGTTTATATTTTCTTATTAGTTTCCTCATTTATCTTTATCCTTTTCCATACAAATTTCAAAAATTACACCTAGTTGGTCTCAATTTCAAGGCTGAATTTCGACTACGAAAAATTCTGGTTGTTTTCCCTTGAGTAATTCAAAAGAATACTCTTTCAACAAAAATTCTAACTAGGTTTACATATTCAAACTTATTCTATCTCTAAAACCTTACATTACCATCATTGTTTTATTCACAATTTCCACAAAGGCATAGCTTCTCAAACATTATCCTAACAACTTGTACAGCCTTTTTTCACCCCACTTATATTCAAAATTTCAAGGTTTTAACAACCCTTCTAAACGTCTCCTGACAAAGCATTAAATGCATGACCTACCATACCTATTATTCAGAGCAGTTACAAAATTTCAGGTGGAATCTTAGATTCATATCTGAGCTTCATAAACTGGAAACATAATGAATGAAAGTTGCAATGATGGAAATGATTTGATATTTCCTCAGTTTAGTAAAATAAAGGCAAAGCTGTAAATCACAGTATTTCTTATCCTTTGTTTTGTTCTTCTTTTCTTTATAATCCAGTTTTGATGGATCAAAAGCTTTTCTTAGTCGAAACAAAACCCTCTAACCATTTTCAACCTACTCTTCTCTATACCACCAATTAGACAAAAAAAAGAGCCTCATACTATGATATTCCATCTACTAGAAATTCTAATTTACCAAGTACAGCTGAAAGAAAATCAAACTAACCTTGTTAGTTTATTTGTTTATTTTAGTAGGTTGCATGTGGGCAAGTGATTAATTATATAATCAGATATTTATGCAAAATATTAGCTTAACAATTAAAGGGATTCTAAATTTTAATTTGTTAAAAAGAAAAGTATGTCTAAATGTAGTGTTTGAATTGTAAACCTAACAGGTACATGTACTTTCATTACTTACATGGAGAGGATGATATTATGTAGAATTTGCATATATTTAAGCATATTTTAGAATTACAAATAATTTTTTTCACAGCCTCCATTGGAAAACCAATAGTTGGACATTCTAGCATAAAGAAGTTTTGTAGTTAATCCAATAATTTTCAGATTCTTCTTATTACTACATATATTTTTTTTAAGAAATTGTCAATATTTCTCCTTCAAATTAACTGCTGGTCCAAGTTAGATTTTGTTCCCTCAACTATTTGAATTTGGCAGTTTTAGTCCTTCTAACTCAATTTTAATGAATTTAATCCTTACACTTTTATTAAAGGTTAATTTGAGAACAACTGATAACATTGATAAAATTTTTCTGTTCATGATGGGGCATTTTGCCGATGACATGGCATAATGTGGTGGATTAATTTTTTGACCAGATGACACATATCAATCTATAAAATCACATCTATTGTAATTAAATAATAATTAACATTTTTTAGAGTCTGAACAATTTTAGTATTTTTAAAAATAAAGGTTTTTTCTTTTGGCTAATGCATGCATGTGAGCAAAAAAATTCAAAGTTGGCATGCCACATCATCAATGAAAAGGCCACATCATAGAAATTAATGACAAAACTTCAAAACTGTTATCAATTGTCCTTAAATTAACTTCCTTTAAAGTAAAAAAATTCATTAAATTTGGGTTAGATTGAAATATTAGAGAGACCAAATGTCAATTTTGACCTTAAATGTTTCTTTGTGTTCGATATGAGGAGTCAAACTACTAACATAAGAGATGTCAAGAACCTATAACTATAAGTAAAAGGGATAATGATCAAATTTACCACTAACAAATTCAGAGTTCCAAATTCACCTCTATTTTTTGGCAGTGCAATTCAATAGCGCCATACTTCATTTTTTGGTGCAATATCACCATTTCACCATTAAGAAGATGAAATTGACCACAGAGATGATGAAGCAATTATTTCAAGTAAAAAATTTTACAAGTTGCAAAGTTGCATTAAATTAAACATGTAAAAAGATTACATGTCACAAAAATTATAAAAATCAAGTTTTTTGTTTCTTATTTTTCTATTTTTCCTCCAGATATTTTAGGAAAAATAAAATAAATTAGGAAAAGAAATCCATCCTCTCATAGTTGTAGGGTTCAATTTTTTTTTACTCTGAACCAAATAATGCTAATTCGCACTTTTACCATGTTTATATTATATTATCATAGTTAGAATTTTTTAAATACAACATATGTTTTAATTTCATGTCAACAATTAACAGTAAAAGAAAATAAAATCTTTGACACAACATCCTTTTTCATTCCTATGTGATAGGAACTGCAACAAAAAAAAACATAGCAGAGTAATATTGCACCCAAAATTGAATGGTAATTTTGACCATTATCCCCATAAAATTTTAAATTAACTGAGAGAACAAATCTGCTGCATATTTTGTTTCTGAATCATATTGAAGGCTGAAAAAAGTTGGATATGCTACTAAAGGTTGAAAGCATGATACTGGTTCACAAGAATCTTACACCAAGAATTTCCATCCTTGACATCCAATGTTATAGCTTCCTTAGCATGTTGAATGCTCTGTTCAACCATTTCTGCCTGATTCTCAGCGCCTACAGATGAAGGATAACTTTTGTAAGAAACAATGAAGCACCTTCATTCATGTTCAAGCCATAAAGAAGCCCTGAAATAAGAGCAACCATATTGCTTGGCAGTTGATAATACAGTTTTCTAAGTCATTTATTTATTTATTTTGAATGAAGGCAGAAACCCAAGGTAGTTTTGTGATGCTCAACTACCTTAAAACAGCCAATTGCTTATCCTGATAACCAATTAAGATCTAGTACAAGAGCATTGAACTGCCACATTAGAGTAAGCCATAGCTTTTCCAAATGTTAAGAGTTTGTTTGAATGAGGAATTTTGAAATAAAAGCATTTTAAAATGCATCAATTTAAAGTAACAATATTTATATTTACACTGTTTGAATAAACATTTTTTAGAATCAAATTTTGAATATTGGAATTTGATTAGATAAATAAAATAGTTATAAAGAAAACAATGATGCCACGAATAGAAAAATAATAATACACATATGGGTATCATTATATTAGTAATAATGTACAGATGTCACTAATAATATGAAAAAGTCAAGAAATATATTTAAACTTGAGTTTTTTAACCAAAATTAAAGAAAATAAAAGTTGCACAAAAAAACGGACACTTAATTGTTCAAATCTTATTAATAAACCACGAAATTTCATAAATCCCACCACAAGAGTTTCGACACGAGAAATTTTGGCCTTCAAAATTTCTAATCGAAATTCTAAGAATTTTGACTTAGAATTTTTATGTAACCAAACAAGATAATTTAATTTTAGAATTTTGAAATTCTCTTTAATGAAATACCTCCTTGAAAGCAATCATCCAAAGGCACTGTAAAGTGAACAGAACTTCATGCAAAAGTTTGACTGGGACTATTATAGACAGGAATTACACAACCAAGTGCTAAAAATGAGGAAATATCATGACCTAAAAGTATCAAAAATTGGCTCTTAGATAGTTGTCTTATTTTAAACAGCCACTGACAAAAACATAATGTAGGTCAAAGAAGTATAACAACTACCTCCGTTGAAATTCAAGATTTTATTGGTTGGATTTTAATGCAGGCTATTGTTGAATGCGCTAGCAGCAAGTTACCCCGCTAGCAATGTCTTTTAGACACAGATAAACAATCAAAAGCAACCAAGAAAAAAAAAGAAGACCGTAAAATCCCATTGACTGACACCAATATGAAGCATATCCAATTTCTTCATCAGCTCAAAAAAGTTGGTTCCACGTAAATCAAAAGAAATTATTTGACATTGGTTCTTTTCCCTAATATATCTGTGAATATAAATTCATTTTTGAAAGAGCAAGTTTGCTAATGTGTTTTCCCTATGTTCTCACATTCAGCTTCACAACTACCACAACCTACCTTACTAAGCATTCCAACCACACTTTAAAAATGACTAATTGACTACTTCTAATCCCCAATAGGCTGATAATTTTAAGTTGAAGAACAGATTGGCTGGCTTCTTAAGTCCAGAAGCATCCAAAAACCAAGCACGATAGAATAACAAGAATTAAGCGAGAAAAAAAAAATCCCTTGCCTTGAACCATTCTTCTTTCCAGCATTGATAATTGGCAAAGTATCTTCTTATTGGACCCCTGTATAATACAAACCAATATATACAATTAATTGGCATGATCTGTAAAGAAAGCGTAATAACTAATACACACACTTACACACAAACTTAAGAATGAAAAATCTAATATGGATGATACCTTGCTTAGTGCAAGATTAAAGCAGTTCTTCGCTGACGTTAAATCTCCCTTCTTCCAAATGCAGTTACCCAAACAGAGCCAAGCATCTGCAAGAGATGGATTCAACTTAACCTGGGGCAGAAAATATTAGATAAAAAACATGAGTCTTAATCAAAGTCCAAGCATTATGGCAAGCCATAATAGCAAACAACGTTCTGTTCCATCTTACTGCTTTTGAGAGATGATCCTCTGCTTCCTTCCTATAGTCAGGCACTACATCTAATATCTTCCCTCTTAAATACTCATATGTTGCACGCTGTAAAGGCAATTTTCTTTGTTCTGCAGTAAAAATGTTCAGTTTAATGTTTAACGAGAGATAAAGATTGATACAAGTACAATGTTAAATAAAGAAAAGGGCTTGCTTAAGAATTTCGGGTCCCATTGTTGTTTGTTGAATTCGACGGTGTCATTGCATGTCAGAAAATGATATCAATATGATAAAAATATAATCACACCTACCTAAGAGAAATATATAGCTTGAAGTCTGAAGTTGGTCCCTTTACTTTAAGGACAATTGAGATCCTGTGTTAAAACTCTAATGCTAATTTGGATCATGCACATTTTGGTAAAGACATGGCATGACAAGATGGATTCAATTTTTCACCGTGTGGTAAATATCAATCTAAAAAATCATATTCTATTTTAATTAAGCAATGATTAATTCTTTTGGAGATTCTACAAAATGTTTTTATTAGTTTTTATTCGAAACAAAGGTTTATTTTGCGCATTTGTGTTGGCATGTCATGAAATCAACAAAAAGAACACATGGCCATAATTAATAACAAAAGTTTAAAATCTTTTTAATAAAAGCATAAGTACTAAATTCATTAAAATTGGACTAAAACATCGAATTGAAATAGTAGAGAAATAGCAGAAGGGCCAAATTCCGACTTTTTAGACTGAAATATATGATATAATTCTAGTAATAGGTATTTCAGCCTTCATGCTATTCTCAAACAATAAGCTTTATATCGGCATTCTTCTTTTCAAGGTTAGGTTATAATAACCGGAAATTTTTAAAGCATTAAATTCGTATTGCATACATAAAATGTAGAATCTAACCGATTGCTTGCAACAAAAAAGAACAAAATAAAAGAATTTTCTATCCAATTTTATTTGATCCATGAAAAAAAAAAAAGAGACGTGTATGACTTGGGAAAATACCAGCAGGAATAGAATCGAGGGGCTTGAGAGCGAGATCGGATTCTTGTTGCAGTTTAGAGATTTTATCATCTGGGTTTTGAGGGAAAAAAGTGTCTCTAAGCTCGTATAAATCATCCGCTGCTTTTATGGCTTTTCCCCATACATCCTCTTCATTTCCAACAGCTCCTGCCATTTTACTTCTTCAGCGGTTACTAACTAAAAGTGAGAACTGAGAAGCCAGAAAAGAGATATTGGATTTACTAGAGAGGGGAAGGACAAAAAGCCCTAAGTCTAGGGTGCAAAACGTTTCACCTTCTTAATTTTTTCTTCTTGGTTTGGTCGTGTCGAAGCAAAACGCAACGCACCATTTTTATGTACTCTACTCCAGAACGGGGCACCGTATATGTTTGAATCTCGAAGTGGCGATAAGTCGGGTTTCGTTTGGTTTGGTTATTTTGAGATGGTAATTATCTTATATTAAATTTAGTCTATATTTAAAAAATAAAATAAAATTATAAGTATGATTAATTATTTTTTTGGTATAAAATGATTTAATTCTCTCAAAATAGAGAGAATTATTTTTAATCTATAAAATTAAATTTATATGTTTTATTATACTTTTAAAAATTATATTAATAATTTAAATTGTATAAATTTTAAAAAAAGATAATTTTGATTAATAAATAAATTATCCTATCATAATCTTTACATATATCAAACATTAGATATGATGATATTATTTAATCTAATTCTATTCATAATATCATCTTATTCTATTCTATCTTAATCTTATATACCAAATACATCATTAGGTTATTCGAGTCTTGATGATTAAGTTGGTGTATTTTTATTTAAATTATTAAAATTTAAAATTAAATTAATATAATTCTAAATTATTTGAAGTTAATTTTTTAGATCATCAAATTTGAATAATTTTAAGTTCGGATTAAATGAACTCATTTTATTACATTTCTTTTAATCAAATTAAATTGAATCATGTTCGAACAAAATTTTAAATTTAGATAAAATCTTTTGAACTTAATAAATCTCTTATTAATTTTAGGTTAAGCTAACATAAAAAGAAACAAAAGTTTTGATGCTGAACTTTGAACTGAAAGGTAAAACTCTAAAATCACAAGAAGAAAAAAGTGAGCAGTTAAAACCAAAGGCTAGGAGTTTTCCCAATATTTATTCTACGACACTCAAGTTAAAGATTGATGCAAAAAGGAATAGAAAGGAGAAAATATGAAAATGAGAAATATGAGATGTTTAGATAATACCTAAATAACCTTATTTATAGTTGAAAATGGGGGGTTTTTTGGGTAGCCTAAGTCCTATAGTCAGAATGACTTGGTAGGCTGAGCTGACTTGAATGTTGATAATCCACTTAAGGAGTAACAAGTCAGTATAAAAAAAGGGGTCCTTTGGGAGGTTGATGAGGTGGTTGAGCTGATTGGTATTGTACATATCAAGTTGTATTGACATGTTAAGTAAGTCCAAAAGTCATAAATACTCTTGGTTGTCTGCTAGCAGTCTCTAATGGAAAAAAGATCATTTTGCCCTTTGAACTAAAAAATGCCCCTAACATTTTGTTCTTCCATCGAGCAATCTGAGTATCACATTATTAGGTGTAGTCTTGGCTGATCTAATTTGTGCTATCTAATGCAAGCTCGATGGTATCGAGCTTAAGATATGGGCTTTGAAATTTATGTTTAAATGGTTTTACTTAAAGTCATCAAGGTGAATGATTGTGAATTTTAAGGTGGATGAAGGTCAAACTAGGTAAGTTTATGAATGATTACCAACGTGACTTATACGTTTGATGCCTTTTTTACCATGGCTTAGTGGCTTATTATTGTCTAAGCTGATGCGGGACTGACCTTTCTTTTCTTCTATTTGAAATTTGATTTTTGACTTGACACTTGGTTGACTTGGTGTGTCACAAATGTTAGACTAACATAGGTAGGCAAAATGATTGATTCACCTTTTTGTTGTTTGAAAATGGCATATGATAAAGAGAAAGAAAATTAAGTGATAAAGCTTAAAGCTAAGAATACGAAAGGTTATCTTCGGTAATCATTTCAGACACATGGCACGATATGGAACATTCATCTTATCCTTTTGTTGAATATATAAAGGGCCCTCTAAGGCCTCAATCTCTTACTTTATAGCCTTTTTACTTTTATGTCGATCTATTTTTATCGATCTCTAAACTTTTTAATTTTATTTTAATTGACCTTTTTATATTCATCTAATTTGATACTTTTTTCCTTTAATTATATTTTCTAATTCAAGTTCTAAAAGTTTTAGGGTAAAGTTAAGAGGAAGTCAACTCGATCATTAAGGTTCAGATAATGAAGTCCTTTCTATGATTGTAAAAAGGGATTATACTTGAGCTATTTTTTGGTTGAATCCGATGTTTATTGAAGATTATAAATGAACACCTATACTAGGGGAGAAGGAGTCTATCAAAGGTGGGTAAGCTTATTTTATAATAGATTATGATCTTCAAAATCCACCAGTTCCAATGTCAAAGGTCAATCTAGTTTTTTCAATTGATTTTCCTTCTTTTATCCCTTTTTCTTACCCTCACCGTTCTTCTTTTTCTTGCCTTCACCTTTTTTTTTTCTCATTTTTCTTTTTCTTTTTTTTCTTCTGTTTCTTTTTCTCAGCCATAAGCTTTTACTTTTACCTTTTTTCGATGAGCTTCCAAGGCCAATCTTAGGTTTCAACCCTCATTTGAGCTTTATGTTTAAGGAGTCTTTTTCTTTCCTTTTTTTTTTTTCAAGATGAGAGATCCTAACTCTTATTCTAGTGGTGGCCTTTACTATCTCCTTAAGGAACGAATCTTCTAGTGATGAATCCTCTTAAAGCGAGTAGGGTTTGAACAAGAAAGATGTAGAGGGGTCTGACCAAATCGAGAAGAAAGAGGGTGAAGGTGGTGAGGGGGAGGTTTCATCAGATGATGATATGTTAGATCATATCCCTTTTTATACTCCTTATAGCTTAAGTGTAATCCCTAATGACGTGTTGTAAAGCTTGAAGGGAAACACCAATCCCGAAGACTACTTTAACACGTCTCTTTGCATTATGTCCATTCCTTGAATGTTAATTTTGACTTTTCTAAAAAGTGATACAACATAATAAATCTGACCACCGATGACTGTGTTACTAGTTCCTTAAAAACCCTTCTCATTTTGGTGTATTGGGAGTCTATAAGGGTCAATTTGATATTTTCTTTACATTTTTTTATCATTGAACTTTTTCTTTCTTTTAATTTAACTATCACTTAGCTCAATCTCAATTCTTTTAGGTACATTGTAGCTTTTATTCTTTGCAAAAATTTAAGTCTTCTTTCAATTGTCCCTCTATTTAAGAATTTTTTATAGCTAAAAAGCATCCCCACGATACAAGCTGATTCTGTGTGACAGCTTGACTAGCTAAAAAATTTTTTATAGATTGCTCAAGCTCAATAAAAAGCTAGTACTACTTTTTCTTTGCAAAAAAATGAAGGATGACAAAGGAGAACTTGGAGTATGGGAAATAACTAATAGGCATGGCATTTTTTAAGACACCTAGGTCAACCCCAGTATGTTTTCAAAGCTTATTGCTTGAGATAAAATAATGGATTTTCTGAAGAAAAGGGAGTTAGTTGTACATGTATATGAGTTGAACTCCTTTGAAGTTGTCAAGAAAATAAAGTATTAGAGTAGGTCTAAGGTAACTCCACACTGTGCTCATTTTCATAAATTTTTTCTAACACATAGTTCATTTTACAAACACTTTGGCCCAGATGGGAGACCTTTTACTTTGGTCATTTTACTCATCTTTCAAAGTAAAATAAAAAAGGGAAAGCTCCTATCCACTCAATGCCCCTTTGAAGAGGCATTAAAATAATTAATCCTTTAGCTTTTTAGCATCCACCTAGCTCTTCTTTACCCTAGAAAAGGCATAAGTAGACAATTGGTAGAAGCCAGAAAAAATTGAGGAGTGAGGCTTTTCTTTGTAAGGCAACAATGTTAAGGTTGCAACTCATTTCAAAGAGGGCTGTAATGAATTTAAAGTATGACTCATCGGAGAATGCTTTAAAAGACCTAAAGTTGGTTAAGAAGATCATGAGGGTAACTTTCTTTAAAAAAGGTCAGCATATCTTTTAGCTTAGTTTACTTTTCATCAATGACTTTTCTTATTTTATTCAAGTCTAAGTTCAATCTTTGTTTTGTAGCCTCTAAGCAACTTCCCACCTCAGTTTTTCAAACTTTAAGGTAAGGAATTGTAAGTGCCTATCAGACTCTTGTGCACTACTAAAAGATCGAACAAGACCTAAAGAAATGTTCCTATGACCCCTTCATCGCAACTGTTGCAAATAAAAGTTTAAAGGCTTCCTTTATAAGTATGAAAAAAGATAATGTTGAGCTCAACGAAAAGGTCAAAAATCTTATTACAAAGTTTAAGGATATGTTTGTCCAAAAAGCTACAGTTGAATCTCTTCAATAAAAAGCTAACCTAAAGCTTAATAAGGCTCTAGCCAAGGTAGTGAAGCTGAGTTTAGAGTTGGAGGCTAAGAAAAAGATCGAGGAGTAAATAATGGATGCTTTCTTAGTGTCTAAAACGTATTATGATTTGTAGATCGAGTTTGCTAAGAAAAATGTCTTTGACTTCTTTGACTTGGCAATGGATAAGATGAAGTTCAAGTTTGCCTAGCTAAACCTAGACCTGTCTAACATTAGCCTGAACAACATAAGGTTTAGGCCAATTCCAACATAAGTTGAGGATGATAAGGATGATGATGATTATGATGATAAGGATGATGATGCTGAGATAGTCACTAAGATAGATGTTGAGATTGAGGCTACCATGAAGGGTGAAGCTATTGAGTTTGAGGCTGAGATCAGTGCCAATGGACCTTTGACTCTTATTTTCAGAGAGCAAGGAAAGAAAAGAACTGATAAGAGGAAGGCTTAAAGAAAAAGTTTTCTCTTTTTGGTAAATTTTTATTTTTTGATAATTTTTTTATTAATAATTTTTGTACTATGAGATTGGGTTTTTTGTAAATATCTTAAATCAAATTTTGTTAAAACTACTTTACAAAACTTATGTTGACAAAACTTCAATCAACTCACATTTTAATGAAATAAAAGTATACTTTTGCCTAAGTTTTAGCTTTACTTTTTCTTTTTTTACTTTGTAGTTTTTTTTCATCACACATAATTACTTAAATGTTAGCTCAAATAAAATGAGGTGATCAATTTGATTTAATAAATTAACTTGAAAATCTAATTTGATGGTTAAACAAGTGCTAGCTCAATGTAAGACTGCTGCCAAGGTTTTTACTTCAATTTTAAATATGTTCTTCAAGATCGATTTTAGGACCTTAGTAACCCTCATGTAATAATTTCTTACAAGTGTCAGGGTGGACAACTCCCTTTATTGATCTGAGCCAAAAGCTTTGGATTTCATACTTTGTTATTAGATTAGATGTAGTTATACCTAATTATTTTGGATTTGGCTTTAATTTTGCAAGTGTGATCTTGGTTAATGTATCAGTTAAGCACTAAGTATGATTTGAGCAAAGTTAAAACTTTTATTCAACTTTGTAATTGCATAGTACAAGTATTTTTCAAAATTATAAGTTTGAGCTTAGCTTTGCATCCTTTCACTAGCACTAAGTTTTGAGGTTGTCCATATTCCATGTCTTTGGTATTAGATTACTCTTCATATCTTTGCAACATGTAAGTCACATTATGGATGACCTTTTTAACTATGTAAGGGCTTTCTTAGTTTGAGGCCTACTTTTTACCACAATCTTTGACTCTTGAGGCTTTTACTTTTTTTAGTAACAAGTTACCCTTCTTGATATTCTTACATCAAACCCTTTATTATAGAAATTAGACACACACTTTGTTGATAGGCCATTATTTTGGTTAGGGCTATGTCTCTTAATTTTTTGACCAAGTCAGATTGGCCTCAAAGGCTTCCTCGTTCTCCTCTTCAAATTCAAGCTCAACTTGGAGGCTTAAAAGGTTGATTTCCATAAGCACTACAGCCTCTATTCCAAAAGCCAAGTTAAAAGAAGTTTTTCTTGTAGAGACTTTGGTGGTTGTCCTAAGAGCCTATAGTACATTGAGTAGCTCATCGACCTATTTGTCTTTGGTTTCATCTAGTCTTTTCTTAAGAGCTTCTAGTATGATCTTATTAGCTACCTAGGCTTAGCCATTGGACTGAAGTTGTGTGATCGAGGGAACCTTAGGTCAATATGGAAGTTGAAACATCACTATTTGAATCTCGAATTATCAAATTGTTTCTCATTATCCATTATTATGGACTGAGGTAAACCAAATGTGTAGACTATGTTCTTCTAAACAAAATTTTTAACTTGAAATTTGGTTGCAATAGCTAGGGTTTCGGCTTCAAGCCACTTTATAAAATAGTCAATCGTTATTAATACAAATCTCTTCTACCTTGTGGCAGGGGTGAAAAGGCTAAGGACATCCATTTTCCATTGCATGAAAAGCTAAAGACTAATGATAAGAGTCAGCTTAGTTGATGGAATGTGTTGTATATGTGTGAATCTCTGGCATTTATCACTTCTCTTCACCAAGTTGGTTACATTTTTTCTGATGGTAGGCTAGTAATAGCCTTGTTTGAGTACTTTGTAGGCCAGTTGCTAAGGTTAGAAGTGGTTGCCATATATTTTTTTCATAAATTTCTTTAAGCACATAGTTTACCTCATTTTCCTCTATGCATTTAAGGTAAGACAGGTTGAAAATTTTTTTATATAGTTTCCTATTAATCAAGATGTATCAAGGGGTTTTTCTCACTAAAGCCTTAGCTCAAACTTTATCCTCGGGTAGTTCACCATTCATTAGATAAGCTCAGATTAGAGTCATCAATGACATTTTTTTTTTTAAATTTGGTCGACCAGTTTCTTATCAATACTTTTCTCTAGTAACTCTTCCACCAGAATATGGGATGAGCTATCAGTTATTATTTTTATTGCCAATTTGATAGCAAGTCGACCAAGGTGTTTTCTAACCTTAGTATTTTTCATGATCTCGACCTTAAAAAATGTGGCCAAGTAAGCTAGCACCTTGTCTAGATACTTCTTTATTCATTTTTTAAGCTTTGAATTCTTCATTTATCTAGTTGACCACAAGTTAAGAATCATTATATATAATAATGTTTTTTATATTAAGCTCGGTAGTTAATCTCAGTATAAAAATTAGTGCCTCATATTTGGCTTTATTATTTGAAACTTTGAATCCTAACTTCAAAGCATATTGAAATTGTAGATCTTCTAGGTTGATTAGGATTAGGTTGGCCCCATTTCTTTGATTAGTAGCTGACACATCAACAAAAAGCTTTTACATTCCTTTTTTTTTTTTACCTTATCAGTCTTCTTGAGCTATTCATTAGTCTGAGATAAGGTGTATTCAGCAATAAAATTTGCTAGTACCTGTGAATTCAAAGCCAACCTAGGGAGTATATGAAGGCCATATTCACTAAGCTCCACTGTTAATTTGATCAGTCTTTCTAATAATTTTGGCTTTTGTGGGGTTTACTTAAGTGGTTGGTTAGTCAAAACATTGATTGTGTGAGCTTAAAAATATGGCTTAAGCTTTCCAGCTGATGTGATAACTATGTAAGCTAATTTCTATATCTTAGCATAGTTTATTTTGACCCTATCAAAACTTTACTCATAAAATATACTGACCTCTACCTCCTTTCTTATCCTTGACTAGTACGGAGTTGATTGCTTGGTTAGTTGTAATGATATACAAATATAAGACCTTATTTGACCTTAGTTTAGAGAGAATAAGATGAGAGAAAAAAAATTCTTTCAACTTTTCAAATACTTTTTAACACTGAGGTGTCCATTATCTAAATTCTAGGATGTCCTTGAAGATTTTAAAAATGGCAAGCACCAATTTGTCGATCTGAACACAAAAATGCTCAAGGGGACTATGTTTTTAATTAGCTTCTGTACTTCTTTTATTAAGGTCGATGCTTTCATGTCAAAAATGGCCTAAACCTTTTTTAAATTCATTTTTATGCCTTTTTTATTGATCATGTAATCGAGAAATTTTTTTAATATGACCTCAAAGGCACATTTGCTCGAATTAAGCCTTATATTATATCATTTAAGAGTGTTGAAGGTCTCTTCTAGATCTTTCAGGTGCTTATTCAAGCTATTGCTCTTCATAATCATGTCATCTACATATAATTTCATATTTCGATCGACCTAATCCTTGAAGACTTTATTGACTAGTCTTAGGTAGGTTGTTTCTGTATTTTTCAAGTCAAAAGGCATGACCTTATAGCAATATAAGTCTTTCTTAGTTATAAAGGCTATTTTTTTCTTTTTTTTTAAGCATTTTAATCTAATTATAGCTAGAGTAGGCATCCATAAAATAAAGCAGGCCATGCTCGGCTCTATCATTAATTAGCTGATCCATGCTAGGTAAAGGAAAACTATATTTTGGACAAGCTTTATTGAAGTTGATAAAGTCTACACACATTTTCTCATTTTATGCTATGCTTTTTTGCCATTACTACATTAGCAATCTAGTTAAGGTAGTAGGTCTCCCTAATAAAGCCTACTTTCAGTAGTTTGTTAACCTCTTTTTCTATTACTTTTTACCTCTTTGAGGCATAGGTTTTTTTTTTTGCTGAACTAGTTTCATGTTCGGATAGCATATAGTCTGTAAACCATTACCTCATGATCTATTATGGGCATATCAAATGGGGTCCAAGAAAATAGGTTAGCATTGTCTCTTAAAAGTTGAATTAGCTATTCTTTTATGGTCGAGCTTCACTCCAATTTGCTTGTATTTTTTAGAATTATTTTCTTAGAATGATATAAAAATAAGGTATTCTACCAATTTTTATCGGTTGTTATTGATCTTTGGTCTTTGATCAATTATTTCTTTGTGCTCTGTTAAGTTAGGTTTATTTTCTAGAAGAAGGATGAATCTCGATGGGGTAGTTAGTTTATTATTAGTAGGATTGTATGTAGAAAAGTAAAGCTGAACAAAATGTAGAATTGTATTTCAAATTTTTTTTAACTAGCTTAATAGCTCAGTTCTATTGACATGTATGTATATATGTCGAGTTAAGAGTTCAACCTTTGTAGAATCATTCAAAAATTACAAAACTTTTGTAACATGTACAGTTGTAGAGCTTAAAAGCTTAAAATGGCTTAAAAACGTGCTTTTTTTTAATTTCATGTTGTTTTTTTACCAAGGCTGTCTTACTTGGCTTCTTCAATTTCCCTGACATCCACCTTAATCACATTTGTCTTTTTTAGTAACTTGGTTTTGGTCAAATTGTCAATCTGTTTCCAAGTCATTCCTTTTATCATTGTTTTATAACACTATCGTGTGGTAGACTAGTCTCCTTTGATCTCTCAAACTTAATTTGAGGTTAGAAACTTAATCTTCAAATGAGAACTAAACTAATCAGTCTTATAATAGATTAGCTAGGTCGACCTAGGATCATATTAAATATATGGGGAATATCCACTACCATAAATTATATGACCGAGGTGATGCTCCTCAACTTAGTGCCAAATGTGATTAGTAGCTTAGTAGTTTCATTTATTGGCACTTATTCATTTTCAAAACTAATTAAAGTGGTAATGAATGGCTTTAACATTTTTCCCTTATGCTCATCCTCAACATAGTGGCATAATACAACACAAATCAAGCTTCCATTATCAAATAGGATCCTTCTCATCACATTGTTGTACACTATAATAGTAACCATAATCATGTCATCATGTGGGAATTGGATCCCTTACAAATCTTCTGAGCTAAAAGAGATTGGCTTATCTTTCTAGATTTCTCTTTTTGGGCTGAGAAACCAATGGTCATAATCATCCCCTGGTCAAACTTCCTTTTGGCTGAGGTGGAGCTCTTGCTAGTTATCATATTAATGATACTCGTAATAAGTCAGTTATCTATAGCTCAGCCCTTATATTCTTTTTCCTTATTTATATGGTTTTCACCTCATTGATTTTCTTCTTATTTGTTTTCTTGATTTATTTTTACCTCTTCTCTTTAGTTACCCTTACTGTAATATGGCCTACCTTGGCCTTATCTTGCTCAGTCCACAAATATGCCTAGCTAACCTCTTTTAATTAGACTATTTATTTCATTCTTTAGTTAACACAGTCTTTTGTGTTGTGGTTGAATATCTTGATAGAAAGTGTATATTTTTGTCAAATCTCTTCTTGTATTTTGCCTTAATGGTTTTAGTCATCTAAGTTTAGGATCTCTTTTTATATGCATTAGAATTCTCTCTCTAAAGATATTCAGTGCTGTGTGGTACCTCTGTTTGCTCAGGCTCCTAGCTTTGGGGTACTACAGTTGTCTCTTTTTTAAGGAAAGATCTTAGATTTTTTTCCCTTTTTTTTGGTCGAATAGGGGGGATAAGCCTTTCTCACTTTGGCTTTTCATTGTAGCTTCAACGTTAATGTATTTTTTATGACTAGTAGCATGTCGCCTAATGTTTTTAGTGGTTTTAGGAAACGTGTAAGCTTCATGTGGTACTCTCTATCAGTGAGTCCATTGGTTAGGGCTTTAAATTTTTTACTTAAAAGGCTTCTGCATTAAAATGGATTATGTAGTCTTCAAAAACTTGTTTCTACCTTAGTAGATTGACATCGAGCTCAAAGTAGTTTTTTTCATTTTTTGCTACTCATAAATTGGGAAAAAAAAGTATGACTGAGCTCTTTAACAGTTATGATAGACCTTGGCTTTAAACTACAATAATAGGATTGAGCTACCCCTTTAAGTATGGTAGCTAGTCTTTTGCACATAAGAACTTTATTCACTTTATGTATCATCATGAAAAAAAGGTTAGTAGTATTGTCGTAAGTCCCCAAGGTTGGCATTATGGGGGCATGGTTTTATCAATCTCTTCAGTAAAGGGTGAGGTCTCAAAAAATTTAAGCTCATCTTCAAAGGCAATAACCTTTCTTTTCAAGTATTTTTCTAGGGCTTGCATTTTAGCTTTTAGGTTTCTATTTGGTTAAGGCTTTAGATTAGCTTGTTTAGATTTTTAGGTGGTGACTTGTGTTGAGGCATGAGTACAGAAGTGGCTAGCTGGAGTAATAGGTTCCTTTTCACGTAAGGCTGATGAGGCTTCAATATCTTTGTAGCTTGGATGCTTTTCAATCGGTAGTCTTCTAGAGGTGACTAGGTTAGGCACTAAAAGTTTACGGATGTGTGAGGCTTTAAATCGTCTCTATAAAGGGCTGTAACTGTTTGGTTAAGCTTGGAATTGCTCCATTGTAAAGCCTATTTGTATGGGTGCAAGTCAGTCTGTGGGTTGGTTGGTATGGATTTCGGTTCCAACTTAGGCAGCTAGCTTTTCGTCCTCAAGAAATCTCTTTCTGGGTGACATGGTATTTAGCTTGGTTAGATAATGAATAGCCCTCTACCTGGTGTGCCAAATGTTATGCCTAGCTTCAAGCTAAAGGGTAAAACCTTGAAACCATAAGAGGGAGAAAGAGAGCAGTTAAAGATAAATGATAAAAGTTTTCCCAATATATGTACTCAACACTTAAGTTAGAGATCAGTGTGGGAAGGAATAAGAAGGAGAAAATATGAAAGTGAAAGAGTATGAAATGTTTAGATAATACCTGGATGACCCTATTTATAGTTGAAGAGGGGTTTTTGGGCAGCTTAGGTTTTCCATAGTCAATCTATAGTTAGGATGACCTAGCAGATTGAACTAACCTAGACATTGATCATCAACTTAAAAAGTGACAAGTTAGCATAAAAAATGATCCTTTAGATAGGTTGATAAGGTGGTCAAGCTGATATGGTACTGTACATATCAAGTCAACCTAAATGTCATAAATGCCCTTGACTATCTGCTAGCCATTTTGTCCTTTGAACCCCAAAATGCCTTTAAAAAAAAGTATTTGGGAAACCAATGCCATGCTCGTGCATTCCATTTCAAATTATCTTTTGATTCTCTTGCTTTGTCTTATTATTATTTCCTTTTTCACTTCATATAACCTCCTCTACATTCCCTAAATTTCATTAATTCAATTTTCTCTTTCAACATTGAGAATAAGCTTTATACTCATCTACTTCTCATAAATATCCTTATTTATCTTTCATTTACTCTAGTCTTTTCCCAAAAAAGTTCTAGCAATTTTTATTTTTGGAGACTCCATTTTTTATGTTAGAAACAACCATTTTAACAAAAACTGTATTGCACAGGCAGATTTCGCTCCTTATGGCTCAACATTTTTGCACCACCCTAATGGTAGGTTCACTAATGGCAGAACAGTTACTGATTTTATTTGTGTGTTAGCTACCTCCTACTTTATTATTTATTTCTTATACCGCTGTTTTGATTACATTTCCTTTATTTATTTCAATTTTTGAATAATTAATATTTTTGGAGTAACGATTAAAATGGCATGCAACATAATTTATAGGCATTGATATGCAACAACCATACTTTGAGGCACAGAGAGCGCTCATGAATGGTAGTAGAAATGATTACCTATCAAATGGCATCAACTTTGCTAGCATTAGGAGTGGTGTTCTGCAAGAAACCAATAAATATTGGATAAGATTTAATTATTCTTACTTCTTATTTTATTTTTTATTTGTTAGCTTAGAGAGTGACAATGGAGAAGCTTTGTGTTTGCTCTTGATATTTAAGTGAATTCATTAATTTTTTGTTTTTTTTATTATACTTGCATGTTTAACTTATGGTAGATTCAATTTTTTTTCAAATATCATTTATTATATATATAAATTGTCGATGAATTATTTATTAATTTTATGGATGAAAAAGATATCATGAAAAAATTTTGAGGGCATTTAAATAAAATTTTTGTTAAAATTTTTTTATTTTTCAATTTAAGGAACTGTCCATAAATACCCTATTCTATTATTTGAATACACCTTTTATATTCAAATAAACCTAAAAAAGTACTTTGAAGTCACTAAACACTCTCTATTTGCATATACTAAAAATTTAGAGTTTTATATTACTAACAATTTGATCTTTGATGCCACACCATAGGGAGTGATATCAATCTAAGACCAATTACGACAATTCCAAACATTAGTAAAGCAAAATAGGATAGATAAAAGTCTAGTTCAGAAATCTCTTTTCTTCTTGGAGTCCAGCTTAAATGACATATACAATTACTTTTTTCCTTTTGGTACCCCAACACTTGATCCAGATGCCTATGTGCAAGCCATGATCAAAGAAGTAGCTAACCTAGTTGATCAAATTTACAAACTTGGTGCTCGTAAAATTGCTGTGTTTTCACTAAGTCCTATCGATTGCATTCCAACAAAAGCCCTCTTGCCTAGTGCGCCAACTAATTGCTGTTATGGAAAGATGAATGTGATGGTTAAGAAGTACAATAAAAGATTGGAAAGCTTGGTAAATGATATCCTAATTCAACATCCTAGTGCAATTGGTGTTTACGGGGCAGTATATGGTGCTGTCCAGCACTTTCAAGTAATTCCAACTCGTTATGGTAAATATCTAACCCTATAAAATTTAAATAATTAAAGAATTCGAGCATTTGGATATAGTTGATGCATATATCTCGAAGAAAAGGTTTTGAATTTTTTTTCTCTAACTTAAAAAAAAAAAAAGAGCAACACACCTTGATTCTCAAATTTGATAAAAAAAATTATAGAAGTTAAAATATCAAAAAGGCTTTGTAATTTTTAAAATTTCTAAGATAAAACTTTTATTTATGAAGTTTCATGTTGAATTGGCCTTTGCATGAGATTTTATATCAACGTCTATAAAAGCCCTAGTTTTGTCACCTATGTGTCATGTAAATATTGCAAGCTTAATATAGTAATAACTATCTATGTCAAAGTTGAAATGATAAAAATAACAAACTTTTTATTTCATTCAAATAAAGATTTAATTAAATAAAAATAGTAATTTAACAGCTCAATTAAATAAAATAGAAAAAATACAAAAAATAGTTCTTTTAATTAAAAATAAACTTTTGTAAGGCATCATTTAATATATTTATATGTATATCACTGATAAAGGACCATTTCATTACAACTTTAGAAGAATAGGAATCGACAATTTACTTTTTAAATTATAAGAACCAAAATGATATACATGAACTTTAGGGATCAAGGATGTAATTTGCTCAACAATTAAATTTAAAAAAGTACTTGCTTTCCCAACTTCTACATATTCAAAACTTTTCAAGGATATACTCAATCAAGTAATCTCAAATCTTTTTTCAAGATTCCATTAGAATTTATTCCATCTAGTTTTACTAATACATTTTTTCCTTTTAATGAGGGATAAGAAGTAAAATTTTCACTGAACTAAATTAAGAGCTCCATATTTATCATTCTATTATTTTATACAATATTACCTTTCAACCTTAATTTTTGTGCAATCTTTTGGCTGCTAAATGATGGATGTCAACCTTGACATGGTATTTGTTAAAAAAAAAAGTTGGATTAAATTAAAAAACCAAAAGTGACAAGTGAAAATATAAGCGAAAATGAAGAATATGTTTTTTTTTTTTGTAGTTTTTCTATTAAAAAATAGTTTTTTCTTACAAATTTTAAATTACAATGTTAGTGACCTTATTGGCTTTTCTTTTAGAAAAAAAAATCCAAAAACTTTTATTTTTACTTAATTATTGATATTATCATTTTCTTTGATTCCATGGGTTTCTTTGATGTAAGTAGCACCTATTATGGAGCTGGACCTTTAGGAGGGCAGCTACAATGTAGTAGGGAAGGTTACAAAATTTGTCCAAAACCTAATGAGTTCTTGTTCTGGGATTACTTCCCTCAAATAGAACATACCTACAAACTTATTTCCAAGGCTTTATGGGGTGGAAAGAAATCTAAAATTAGGCCAGTTAATCTAAAGAATCTAGCTGATCTTACTATCATGCTTGTTTATAAGGTGATGAAATTGTAGAATACGACTTATGAGATCTTCTTTGGGTTATGTTATTTCTTATATAACTAATTTTAAGCGCTATGATGTACATATATGCAATTATGTATACAAAATTTCATTTATAATATAATAACAAAATTTCAATGTAAAATAAGTAAGGGAAAAATCGAAGCTATATAATAAAGTTTAGTGAAACATGCTTTTGTATCATAACTCATATAGTGATATTTTAAAAACAAAAATTGAATAATGTTTAATTTCAAATGACTGAGATTTGCTTTATTTAAAGTCAAAGTACAAATTTTTTTATACTTTTTGTTAAGAGTATTTTTGGGCTCAGAGGGCAAATTGGTCTTTTTGCTCATTAAAGACTGTCAGCAGACAACTAAGGGCATTTTAGACTTTTGAGTCAACCTGACATGTACATTGTTATGTCAGCTCAACTACGTCACTATACTACTTCACAGACTCCTCACCTTTCACCTATAGATAGAAACCATCCAAGTACAGTTAATCAAATCCCATTTTTCCTTGTATTCTTATTTTTCTCTCTTTCTGAGCTCTTTAGTCTTGATCTTTGACTTGAGTGTCAGAGTGCAAATGTAGGGAACTCTTTTTGATTTTGTCTTAATCGCGCTTTTCCCTTTCTTATGATTTCAAGATTTTGTCCCTCAGATTAGAGCTTGGCACCAACATTTGGGGTGTCAAGTAAGGGCAGTTGAGCTAAACACCATGTTACTCAGAAAGAGAGCCAACAAAGAAGGTAAGACAGCCATCCTAATTAGGACCAAAACCCATGATAGCCAGCATACGGACCAACCTACACTAACACAAGCGGGGCCAACCGTGGAACAATTTCAAACCTTGATCGAATAGATCTAGGCCTTAAAACAAATGTTACATACCATAACGTCATCCTAAGTCTCAAAAGTATTAGACCTAGTCACTCGCAGTAGATAGCCAATAGAAAGACAACCAAGCTACGAGGTAGTTAAGATTTCTTTAGCCTAAAGCGAAAAAGAACATGCTACCCTAGCTATCCATCATCACTACCCTAGCCATAACTTTACTCACATGACCATAAAAAAATCCAAACAAACTGACCTAAAACTTCAGTTGAATAGAGATCTGAGGCTAGAATGCAAGACATGGAAAAAGAAATGAAAGGAAAAGCTATCACTTTTGAAGACGAGTTAAAGTTCTTGGAAATCTTACCCTTCATCGAGGAGATTGATAGGACCGTACCCCCAAAGGATTCAAAATGCCGATCATGGAGACTTATAATGGTACTTTTGATCTTTTTGATCACTTAGAACTTTATAGAACTAACATGATGATGCAGGGTGTAAATGAAGCCCTAATGTGCAAAGGGTTGGCGATAACCCTTAAAAGGGCAGCTCAATCCTGGTATTATAATCTTAAATCGAGGTTGAACACCACATTTAAAGAACTCAGCCATTCTTTCTTCCTCTATTTCATCAGCAATAGAAAAACTAAAAAAATTACCTTAAACTTGATGTCAATGAATTAAGATAGAAACAAGTCTTTAAAAGGCTACTGTAGATTTCGAATTTTGTTTGAATCATTTTTAGCATGATTGAAAAAAGTGCATTTGAAGCCTATAAAGAGGTTCATTTAAAAGCCCATAAAATGCATCGATATTTAGGCCTAGAATAAATAAAGAAAAAAAGAGACTTGTATGATTACTGTCAAACTCTTTTGCATGGGATTTATATAGATGATACCTTTTTACATGGATGCATGAGAAATAAAGAATAAATGAAGCGAGTAAACCCCAAAGTCAACTTTGGTTAAAATTAAACAAAACTTGTTTAAAATGAATAGAACTTGGTCTAATCCTCAAAATTCACAACCTAATTGGAATCAATGTGGTTTAAAATTAAATTTGGTGATTTTTAAAACACTAAAAATTTTTATTGCACTTCGAAAAATAAAAAGTTACTAAAATGCCCTTAGAGAGTATTTTTGTAATTTGACCTTCTTGAGCTCAAAATTTTGTGAAAATTTTTAAGATCTTAATTTCAAAATATTTAATGATTTTTGGTAGATTTGAAATCATAGTAGTACCCTGAGAAGTGTGAAAGTACCAAAATACCCTTATAAGGGTATTTTAGTAATTTGACCTTTTTGAGCTCAGATTTTCATGAAACCTTTTTAGATCTTAATTTCATAATATTTTATGATTTTTGATGCATTTGAAATCATAGCAATACCTTGAAAAATGTGAAATTATCAAAATATCCCTTAAGGTTATTTCGTCGGAGCTCAGATCTTCATGAAACTTTTCAAATCTTAATTTCGTAATATTTCATGATTTTTGGTAAATTTGAAATCATTGCAGTACCCCAAAAAGTGTAAATTACCAAAATATCCTTATAAGAATATTTTTGTAATTTGGCTATTTCAAGCTCAGATTTTCATGAAACTTTTTAGATTTAATTTTATAATATTTTATGATTTTTGGTGCTTTAAAATCTAAAAAATGAGCTTGGGAACATTGATTTCTAAGAAAATGGCTTAAATATAAAAAATTTTGCAGTAAATAATGTGGACCATTTTATCTTCTATTGAATCTTGATCCAATGGTTAAAAATTAGTCATTGAAAAAAAAGAAGAAACTTTGGCCCTTAGATGAGATTGATTCCAAAGGTCTATACTTACTAAGAATAGAGATATTTTGGAGGGTCTAATTCTTTAAAGAGAAGGGAGGTCTACTAAAAAAGAAATGAATGAGGGCTCTTAAAAAAAAAAAGAATGAAGAGTCTGTCAAAAAAAAAAGGGCTCTTGAAAAAAGGGAAGATGAGTGTTTTTTTTCGAGAATTCTAGGAGTTGTTTTTAAGAATGCTCTACAATCACCATAGGTTACCTTTTTTTCTTTTACAAGGTTTTGATTCTCTTCAACTAGCTCTTTTTTATTTTTCTTTAGGCCTTCTTATACTAGAGTCATAATTTTTCTGTTAAGGCATCTTGAGGCAATGTGTCCAATCCCTTAACACTTAAAACACATTATGTTTTGTGCACTACACTAAGGCTTTCTTGTTAAGGTTTCATCTTTTTTTGGGGCTACTTTGGAATAGGCTTAGAAGGAACAACAATTTTAGATGTGCCACCTTTATTGATATAGCCTTTTGAGGACTTGAATCCTAAGTTGCTACTATGGGCCTATTTTTGTTGTCTCTCCGCCTTAACGGTAAGCTTGCATACATCATTAAAAGTCTAATAGGGTTGTTGCTATACCACATTAGCTATCTTGATCTTCAACCCTCTAAGATATTGTGCAATAGTTTGCTCCTCTTGTTCCACTAATTTGTATTTCAACATGAGGTGGTCAAACTCAATCATATACTCCCCTACTAAGAGATCTTTCTAGTTTAACTTATGGAGCTTAAAGAAGATGTCTTGATGAAAGTTGTCTGGGAGATACTTCCTCTTTAACCTTTTTTTCATCTTCTCATAAGTTGTAATTTTTCTCTAGCCTTCTATTACCTTTTGCTTCTTCAAATTTTCCCACCAAATGAATGAATGCTTTCTAAGTTTGATGGCCACTAGCTTCACCTTGTGATGTTTAGGGGCTTAATGGTATTCGAAGATATGTTTCACTATGTGTAGCTAATCTAAGAACTCTTCAAGTTGTATCTTCCCTTCGAATTTTAGAATCTCTCTCTTTGGATTGAATATGCTATGTTGAAGTTGATTTTTATATAGATAGTTTTTGACTTATTGTCGGTAAGGTGGGGTGTTACCATTAGAATCATTGTTGTTTCCATAGTATGGATTGGTTTCTCTTTTATCTTCTTTGTTCCTCCTTTTTTACATCCTTATCTCTTCTCTCTTCTTGTATATGTAGCTATTGTTGTAGTTGAAGGATCTATTCCATATCTTTTTTCTGAGGACATCCCTTGGGTCAACATTGGTAATTACTATAACATCGATGTTGGCTTCAACTTTTTTTGTTAGTGCTTGACGATGATGACCTGCCATAGCTCTGATACCAATTTGATATAAAAAATTGATGGTTGAGATGTTAGAGATTAATAACAAATAGAAAAACTCACAAAAAAGATAACTCATAAGAATTTGAATAATGGCAGAATATGATTATTAGATTAAAAGAGTAAAAGTTCACCACCAAGACTACACACTAAGAGCCATAGAAATACCACCTTAAGAATTCTAATCAAAGATACTGAACAATAGAAGTTCACTTTAGGAAATCCACCTAAAAGATACAGAACTTAAAAAATAATATAAAATATTGCTTAAAGATAAAGAAAACTCTATTATGCCTTCTACCAAAAAATAATAGAAAATACATAGGCTTGGAACATCCTTCTAGGCTTGGGAACTTCACAGATTGAATTGCTGAATTGTGCCTAAAATTATGAGATTTGCATGTAAACACAATAATCTATAATATGAATATGATTATTTGCCCATTTGCTCTTACAAATTACATGATAATGAATCTAACTATAATCTCATCCATTTTTATGCTCTTCTTTTCTAGCTAGTGTGAACATAATCTCTTTATTCTAGCCCATTTTATTTTTGCATTTATTTAGTGGATATGGACCAAGGATAGGCCTATCTTATTTTTGGATATGTCTTCCTTAGTCTTAGCCTAAGTTGTAAGATGTGTTGACATTCTAAAGTTAGCAGAAGAGGCAGTGAAGTGCTCTTTTGGATCATTTGAATTCATTAATGCAACTTATGTAAGGGAAGGGTTGAAAGTGCACACTCCATGCTTATCAAGTGCAACTGGGATGGTCATCAAACAAACATTTGGTAAAGGATGGTAAAACGAATTTGTAAGGAATCAAGGAGCCACTAAGAGAATTTAAAACTAAAAATCAGTTCAGATTAGGATTTAAAGTTATTATGATAAAAAAAAAAAAGAGAGCCATGGCTGAAAAGAGAGAGAAAAGATTGGTGTAACTTAAAGTACATGAGCTGAAGTATGAAAGAATGATCATCCCTTACCTCTATGATGCATTTCGTTCAAGTGGATATATCCACCCTAATCTGTTAGAGGTTACACAAAGGGAACCTATGCTGAACATGGGAGAAACCTTTTTTTGAACTCCATATTTATGTGGTAGGAGATGCAGTAACAACCATTCAAGAAGATAAGCCTATTGTTTATCCATGTCCTTTAGGTGAAGAGTTGAACAATTGGAAATCAATGAAGTTGCTAGTTATCCTTAAATCTTTCACAAAGTAATGTAGTGAGTTAATTTTTCTTGATGCTTATGCCCAAAAGCGTTTAGAAGAATTTTGTATGGGCTTATATTTCTTTTATCATTTCAATAAAATGATTAGTGTTTTGCATTTACATTTCCTCTATTATTTCATTCATTCAAAGTTATAATTTCTTTTTCT